AAAAAATTTTGATATACTTGCATATGTATAATATAAATCTTATCAGAAATAGAATTTAAAAATTTTTTGTCTGTCCATATGCATGTCTATATTTGTGCTTTAATGTTACCAACATATGCATACTAACATATTTGTGTATAGTAAATAATATAATAAATATATAAATAATTAGAAGTTTTAAGCTATTATTAATAATTTAAAAATATTTAAATATATAAATATAAATAAGAAAAATTATAAATAGCAACTCATCACCATGGTAACTCTAATGATCAGCCAATCATTTTTAAGTTTGGTGATCATATATAACAATGATAATCATTTTGTTTACAATTTTCGGTTGTCTTTTTTTGATTTATTTTTTTTTTGCGTTTTTTTGTTTTTTTTTTTGGTTCATTTTTTTTTCTCTTATTAGCTGTTAAAATCAATAACCTTTGAAATTATTGTCATTGGAGCTGCCATTGTTTTTGGAGTTGTCAAGTTTCGTCACCTTTTGTCACTTTTTATCATCATTGCTAGAACTTTCTGGGTGAGTAATTTAAATATTATTTCATTAGCTTTTTTTTTTTATCAATTTTTCTAATACTTGTCAAGAACTTTCTTGGACTTATTCTTAAACTTTTGCTTAGACTCTCTCTTAAACTTTTTCTTGGACTTTTGCCAGGACTTTCATTTCGGGGTTGTTTTTCTTTTTTCTTAGTTTTTTTCTTTTTTCTTTTCTTTTAGTTTTTTTTCTTTTTTTGTCCTTTTTTTTTGCTTTTTTGTTTTTTTTTTTTTTTTGTTTATCTATTTTTTCTTTCTTTAATCTGTTTCTTTTGTTTTTTCTTTTTTTCTTTTCTTTTTTTTTTTGCACTTCTTTTTTATTCACATTTTTTGAACTAACATTTTTCTCTTCCTAGTTGTAATTTTAGTATTACCAAATTGTAATCTTTGGAGTTTTCATCGCTAGAGCTACCACTGTCTTTAAAATTTTCGTTGCTAAAACTTTCTGGGTAAGTAATTTAAATTCTTTTTTATTGGTATTTTTTTTTTCTTTGCCAACTTTTTTAACACTTATCTTGGTTTTGGATTTTTGCTTGGACTTGGACTTTTCTTACTTCTTTTAAGAGACTTGAATAGAAAGAGCAGAAGTGGCAAAGAAATAGAAAAAGTTATAAAAAATTATTAATATTTTTTTGCACTTTATAAATTTTTAAAGAATTGGCCTTGATTTTGAATTACAGATTTGTTTGGTGATACAAGAATAGCAACCTGTAATAAAAAATAAACAAAAAAAATATGCCAAAACCATGTGACAAAAATAAACAAAGATAGTAAACAATCATACCAAACAACAACAATTAATAATAATAAAAAAAACAACAAGTCACATGAAGCAAATCAACAATAACAAGAAAACAACAAGCTATATAGAATATTTAGTAATAATCGATAGAAGAGAGCTTAAGAAGAAAGCTACAACCAATCTATAACCAAAAAATTACAAAAAAAACAAGCTCATATATAGCAAGCATTAGCATCACTAACTGAGAAAAAAAGAGCAAATAATATAAAACAAATTTTAGCAAAATTAGCAAAATATACTAAGAAAAAGCTTATTATAGTAGAAGAAGCAAAAGCACAGATTAAAGATCTGTACAAAGAATTATATCAATACAGAAGAAGTGAAATACAGTATACAGAACTTGTATTTAAAAAAAAAACTTTATTATTATTATATAGCAATACTAAAAGGAATAGACTTAACTAGTTATATCATAATTAAAAAGATAAATGATATTACTTTTGAATTAAATATAACCAAGTAGATAAGAGAAATAATAGATACTAGAACAAAGCAAGCTATTAAAATAAAATCAAAATTAGAAACAGGTTAAAGCAAAAGACTTCAAGAACAAAAAAAAAATAGACAAAAGCAGCACAATAAAACAGCACTGAAAAACCTAATACAACAATTTAAAAAATCTGTTGAAGCTATTACAGCAAACCAGCTTGAAACAAA